GTCCCATGCAATATTTAGTTGTTCTTGTCAGAGGGAATAACATATCTTTTGTCCACTGTGCTGATCAATTTCTTGCAGTCTTTGTTACTCACTGTCTTTAGTGAACATGCATCTCTGACCAAGTGTAATGTGGTTGTGCTGAGGATACATCACATTAGCAACCACTGCATTGTTTTTTGGCCTTAACATGCATAATTACACTGCAGTGTGTATGTGTGTGTGTTTGTTTGTTTGTTTGTTTGTTTGTTTTGGGGGGGTTTTTTTTGGGTTTGTTTTTTGTTTTGTGTGGGGGGTGTGGGAACACACAAATGAGGAGAAAATAAAAAACAAGTTGATTCTTGTTCACATGTGTGAGCCAAATGTGACACAGCTGCATCCCCTCTACAGAGACATCAAAGATACAACGGTGGGCACACTATCACAACGCATCACAAACCAGGTTCACGGCCTAAAGGGACTCAACTCTAAGCTGTTGGACATCCGCTCTTACCTAGAGAGGGTGGCTGCAGGCAAACTTCCCATCAACCACCAGATCATCTACCAGCTGCAGGATGTTTTCAACCTGCTGCCTGATGTAAATCTACTGGTAAGTTGTTTATGTTTGAGGTCTGTTTACTTCATGTTTAATCTGGCAGCTTTTTAAGTGCAAGAGATTATAAAACACGTATAGCTGTATGCTACTTTGGGAATTTCATGTTTGCACTAAATTAAAGATGTGACTGTTACCTTTTTTTCCTTTTCATTAAAGCTTTACAAATACTTTAATAATCAATGCAGAAACGTAATAAGGAAAATTGTGTTTAGTGTGATAGTGTTTTTAAACAAAACTCAAAAATGAACTGGCATTTTCAATATCGTGATAAAATACTCATATGCCTTACTAATGTGTGTTTTTAATTGCTGTGATAAACAAAACCTTGGGTGTGAATATGAGCTCTGTGTGTTTGTGTGTGTGTGTTGGGGGGAGGGGGAGTCTTATCTTAAAAATCTGTGGTCAAATACTGCATCAAATAGCAATATTAAATCTCTTTTATTATACATAATAAACTACGAAGATGTTTGCTGGGATAATATGTAAGTTTTTTGTATTTTGCAGGAGTTCACAAAAGCCTTTTACCTAAAGACCAATGACCAGATGTTGGTGGTCTACTTGGCCTCGCTCATACGCTCTGTGGTGGCTCTGCACAACCTGATCAACAACAAGATTTCCAACCGAGATGCAGAAAAGAAGGAAGGACAGGAAAAGGAGGAAGGCAAGAAAGAGAAGAAGGATGACAAAGAGAAAAAAGATGACAAGGAGAAAGAGAAGGAGAAGGAGAAAGCAGACGGTGCCAAGAAAGATGAGAAGAAGAAAAAATAGTGAGCATTCTTCCTCTGCGGTCCTCTCTCAAATCACACCGCCATCTTCTGGATGGTGCTCTACTTTGTGTCCACAGGCACAGCTCTGTATGTGGGTCTCGGGCTAAAAGTAGGACTCTATATGGGGAACGGTGTCATTTGAGATTTGGTCTCATGGTCACAAACGGCACTCTCAAAGACTTGTTATCCTACAGAGATGATGTTGTTTGCTCGTCGGTGTTGGCCAGTGTGAGAACATGCTGTGTCCTGTTTTCATAGTTGCCATAGCCTCGATGTTGCAAACACCCGGTGTTGCTTTTTTTTTCTTTTCTTTTTTTTGTATGTTCGAGGAAATGTTTCTGTATCACTCATTAAACTTGGATCATATTATAAGATGATTGTTCTGATTCTGTCTTTACATATTTACACATTGTTTTTCCTTAATATTTAAAAGCAGACATGTGGTAAAGTCCCTGTTATAATTTTAGAATTGTGACTCCACTTATTATTATGGAAGGGGAAGTTGAGTTGGAGAAAAACAACAAGCAAGTGCTTACGCTGTGTGTGTTTGTGTAAACTGGTAGGGCAGTTTTAACTTGACAAATTGCCAATTGTCAACTGATATAGCTGACTTGTTTTAAAGCGATACTACATAAATACAGCAAAACTAAGCTTTAATTTAAATACTTAAGGCAAGAAAGACAGGGGAATAACAAATGTTTCCCTGTAGAGAAACTGTTATTTCTCTATTATGGAGCATAATGGGAAAAGAAAATACTTTAGATCTTTTAGAAATTGCACACAATTCGCTAGCACCTTAATGAGTAATAACCCAGTGAATTGCCTGTTTCAGTATAACTTTTTCACACTTATTCTTTCATACACAAGTTTTGCATTAGTAAAGAATAAAAAGCACTTTAATTACAACTGTGATAATCATTTAACATTTCTGATTTTTTTTTAAAATTTGAATTAAGCTACAGGAAAAATTTCTAGCACATATTGTCAAATTAAAAGCGGTTTAATTGATGTATTGGGCTTGTCTGTGAAATCATTGCGGAGCACAGATGCGTGATAAACGCTCGCGCACATCTCTTTGATGAGAAGGAGCCGTCACCTGGCATGTTTTTTTTTTTTTTTTAAACTGCGTCATCTGCAGCTTCTCCCCAGCGCTGGAAGTTTCTCGCTCTTTCACTTACCAAAATATACGAGAAGTAGGAGTAACACCACCATAGCGCGTTTAAGCCCTGGTTGTGTGGGACAAATCAGATTATCGGAAAGACAAACTGGATTCTGACGTAAAGGGCTTAAAACCCGGCGGAGGAGCGTCGCGTGTGCCGCTCCAGCTCACAAGCAGTCCGTAAAAAAAAAAAAGGAAAAGAGGAGAGCCGCTCGTGCAGCCTCCTGTCATCAAACCTCCACACACCCCTCCTCTTCCCCGTCTCTCAGGACCTGAGCATGACTGTTCAGATTTTTCGCTGCGACTGAACGGATCGGACGGCCGCCGGTGGTGTCATGGCTTCCTATCTGCAGGTGAGGCTGCCAGCTGCCGTCCTCTCTCCGGGCTGGGGTGTTTCGTACTTGTCAGGGTGTGGTTGTGCGCGTGGCACGGTAGGCCCTTTTAAATAGAAGGGAGGAGGCACGAGCTTTTCCCTCACAATCTAAGCTGTCATGCCTTTTTACCTTACCGCCACCCTACCACTAATTCGCCCAGTAAACTGGGTAAACAGGTGGTTGAGAGGCTCGGTGTTGCCGGGGTGGGGGCTTCACTTTGATTTAACGCATCTTTGGCGCACATTATCTGTCAGTGCCAAATAGTTTGCGCATTTTAATTTATGGTTCCAGATAGCTGATGATGAGAAAGGCCACGACCTGGACCTTTTCTGTGTTCCCAGACATTACGAGAACGATTTGGACAAGGTGATTATCCCACATGGACTCATCATGGACAGGTAAAGTGATTTGTCACCTCTCTGGCTGGGTTTTTTGTTTTGTTTGTTTTGTTTTTTTGGGTGGGGGGGTTCACAGCAGACATCTTGGTTGCACAGGTGTACTGATGATGGGAAACTGCTGCAATCGTGAGGTACTTAGTGGAGCGGACTCGTGTTTTCAGAATGTGTGCTATGAAAAACAGGTGTGCGCTATACAAAATACTGCTACCCACAACCAGGGGTGGATTTGTATGTGGGTTTGAGGGCATATGAAGACTCGATGCCAGTAGTGCTAAAGTGCAAAATCACTTAAAGTATATTCTCCCCATGATTTAAGAACTAGGCTTCATTATGATTTACAGTGCTGTCACTGTTTCTCTCTCCCACCTCCTCTTTGATGCAGGACAGAGCGTCTGGCCCGCGACATCATTCGAGACATGGGGGGACACCACATCGTAGCTCTGTGTGTGCTGAAAGGTGGCTACAAGTTTTTTGCAGACCTCCTCGACTACATTAAATCACTGAACCAGAACAGCGATAAATCAGTCCCGCTGACAGTGGATTTCATTAGGGTGAAGAGCTACTGCGTAAGCCGCCTTTCTCATTTCATGGATGTGAGCGGAGGGAAATGGAGTTGGCAGAAGTACAAATGAGAGCATTCTTGTTAAAAAACGCTGCAGTGCAGAGGCATTTTGGAAAAGTAGATTTTTTTTTGATAAAAACTTTCATTATGAGGGAGTTTCAGCTTATGGATACTGTCTCATTTTTGTGTCCCCCCAGAATGATAAGTCAACTAACAATGTTAAAGTCATTGGAGGGGATGAGCTGTCCAATCTCGCAGGCAAGGTTAGTCTTTCAGTCACAGAGAAATACTGCTGTCTTCTTCATAGAGGTTTAAATTATTAACTTTGCTTCTGTTTTTTTGCTCTGCAGAATGTTTTGATTGTTGAGGTAAGCTCTTGTTATTATCATTCAGGTGGCTGATGTGGATTAAAAAAAATCTACATCTAAAACATGATCTCTATTATTAGGGTTAAATAAAACATTAAATACTCATATTTTATTACTGCTATTGTAGCGGTTTTAAATTAGTTATGTTTGCTTGCTTTTAACATTAAATATCAGACATGATATCTGATAAATGCTTATTTGTGCTTACATCTCTAATTCGACCACTTCCGGCCTTGTTGAAAGGATATTGTGGAGACAGGAAGGACAATGGAAACACTACTTTCCCTGCTGAGTGAATGTAATCCCAAGATGGTTAAAGTTGTAAGGTAGGCACCCTTAGATGCTGTTTATAGTGCATGAGACTGAATTACAGACCTCCACAGTAACTGGCTGGTATGTCTTCAGAGAGACAAAATGCATCTAGCTAACGGATACTCTCCTTTAGGACTGTATTAGAGATGTGATGTGATGGAAGGATGGAGCAGCTTAAGAGTTAATCTGCAGTTCTATTAACTGCACTGTGGAGGCAGAGGCCGTTTCTCTGATGTATTCCTGATAGCTGGTTAGAACAGGAAAAGTGCTCAGCCGATACAGTTCCCCTCTGTTTGCACCACTTACAGTAGTTTGGGAGGGACATCTCTGTGGCTTTGATGTGTGCCGTGTGATAGTCTCCTATCAGTATTTTGTCATACCCCTTTAAATAGAATTATAGACTTTTAAGGGGTAGTTTACCACAGGAAAAAATAAAACTCCTCCCACTTGAGTGTGATTTCGAATCATGTGATTATTTTCTGTTCCCCCTGAGGTTTTGCAATATCTACCACTGAAATGTCATTCGAGCACACTGCAGCTGAAAGGACACTTTTACAATCCACAAGCTTCTATTTTTTCAGTTAGAATTTTCATTTTCTAGAATCTACCACATTAAAAAATAAATTTTGTGAAATAGGATTCCCCAGTTTTGTCTGTACATGGGTCCATAAGCTCAAAAAAAGAGTTTAATCTTGGACTGCAAATAGCCATCTATGGGTGGATGTAACGGGGCAGTGAAAGATGTAAAATGTGACCTGAACGGTCTTTGTTTTGATGACAGCTTTTTGTCTTTGACTTCCTCATAAAGCTTTCCGCATTTATCATTCTAGTCTCCTGGTGAAGAGGACCCCAAGAAGTTCAGGATATAGACCAGACTGTGAGAACCTCTTATTTTTCTTCTACATTCTCTGTGTAGTGACGAATGGTATGGCTCAATTTGTGACTTTCAGTCATTTGCGACTCTTTGAAGATCCAGTGAAAATTTTAATGAAGCAGGATTATAATTAATCTCAGGGAAATCTACTCTAAATGTAGCCGAGCCTGGCACTTATGTACTAATGCAAGCCTTATAACCCCCTGCTCACACCATCTATGATTATGTAATGCTTTTAGGTTTGAGTTGGGTAATCTCTTTAAGATCGTCCCTCAAGGACAGCTGTTACTGTAAGTGTTTTGACTTTCCGCTGAGACCATAAAAGAGCAGTGACTGCTTGTTTATGTCAGAGCCAGTTTGTTGCTTGTTTTCTTCCAGTCTTAAAAGTAGCTTCTGGTTTCTCTTATTTATAACCCCTTGTATCAGTGATGTTACATAGGGAGATTTCCCCTTCTCACAGCTCCTAATGGTCCTATCACTGCAGCCACTTTAGACTTTACCTTTCCCATCTGCTCCAGTTGTTTCTTCTGCCCTTGCTAGTTCTCTATTTTTTGTGTTTCTTCTTAGTTGCTGTCGGCTGAGATTCCCACATCTATCACAGATGCACTTTGTTAACCACCACTATGTCTGGTTGGTTGGTCAGCAGCTGCTTGTCTGTCTAGAAGTCAAGCTCTGATATACTGTTATGTTATACTGCTATGATCAGAACTCTCCTCTAAGCCATCCTTTTCTATCCACTGGTAGTATTTCTTAATGCGAGCTCCTTCCTCTATCCGTTGACGGTACATTCCAGGACCAGATTTCCATAGGGGTTTGGTCATCCATGATAGTTCCTCGTCCTGTTCCCCAACTATCCTCAGTTGTCTGAGGTATTCTTGGCACTCACTAATCCTCTCCGTTTCTTTTTTCTGTTGCTCATAGACCCTCAGGGTGCTAGACTTCAGGTAGAGAGCTCCGCGCATTGTGAGGAGTTTTGGTGTCTTGACATGAGTGCCATCTCTCTCCTCCTGTGGTCAGCTTATTTTTCCAACTGGGCATCTGATGATCGATAGGGCACAGACATTGATGGCTTGGATCTTATTCCTTCTGTTCAGCTAGTTTCTTAGAACCTACAGTACCTTTTGGAGGTATATGGCTGTGGCTGATCTTTGTGCGACTTTGTCATGGTTCTCGTTGGCCTGTGGGATATACAGGTACTTATAGTTGTTCTATATATCTGCTATTTTATCTTCTGGCGACTCCACCTCTTTATATCCATCGTATCAGCTCTTAATGATGAGCTGGCTTAGAGGGTTGAGGCCTATGCAGAACAGCAGCGGGGACAC